CATCGTTGACCACAAGATGAACATGAGCCTGCAATGCGATGCGGCGGCTAGTAAAGTGACCAAAACGCTGGCTTGCATCCATAGATGGTTCTCAAGCAAATCCCGGGACGTCATTCTCCCCCTGTACTCGGCCTTAGTGAGGCCGGAGCTGGAGTACTGTGTCCAGTTTTGGGCTCCACAATTCAAAAAGGATGTGGAGAAGCTTGAGAGAGTCCAGAGAAGAGCCACGCGCATGATCAGAGGTCAGGGAAGCAGACCCTACGATGACAGGCTGAGAGCCCTGGGGCTCTTTAGCCTGGAAAAGCGCAGGCTCAGGGGTGATCTGATGGCCACCTACAAGTTTATCAGGGGTGACCACCAGCATCTGGGGGAACGTTTGTTCACCAGAGCGCCCCAAGGGATGACGAGGTTGAATGGTCACAAACTACTTCAAGATCGTTTCAGGCTGGACATAAGGAAGAACTTCTTTACTGTCCGAGCCCCCAAGGTCTGGAACAGCCTGCCACCGGAGGTGGTTCAAGCGCCCACATTGAACACCTGCAAGATGAAACTGGATGCTTATCTTGCTGGGATCCTATGACCCCAGCTGACTTCCTGCCCTTTGGGCGGGGGGCTGGACTCGATGATCTTCCAAGGTCCCTTCCAGCCCGAATGTCTATGAAATCTATGAAATCTATGAAATAGTTGCTTCAAGCAGTTTAGTTATCAACAAGCAAGAGATTCCATAGCTCTCCAATTATGTATATGTTTTATAGCCTGCTAAAGTAGGAGAGCCACGAGGTGAAGATTTTTTCTCCAGATAGAAGGCTTTGTAACTGACACCATTAAAAAAGCTCTCCATTATTGTTCTCAATCCTTGTAGTGAATTTTGAAACAGTTAACAATGTGCCTTTTGTTGAATCATCTCTTGGTATGCTTGGTGCGGCCTGCGATCACTGTTCCTTAGGCACTCATCTCTCGGAAGGATGACATTTGTGTTGGGGTGATCATCAAGCTTTATTCTAAAAAACAATTCTGTTTCATAGAAATCAAGAACGCCCTCCCATCCTGCTGTATAAATCCTCACTAACCTCTTTCCCACACTGAAGAAGAAGCTAATAAAATGCACTATAAATTCTGGCTCTGTTTTCTCAGGCTTCAGACTTTTCATGAATCTTGTGTAAGTTATTCTGAAGGTGGGAAAACACTGATGACTTTTTGCTGTGAGTTCATATTCAAAGGCTGCCTGCTGCAAAAGCATCCCTGTGTAGAAGTGTCCTTGGAGTTCCAGCTTGTCAGCATGGCTTGAGGGGTGGCTGTGGTGACCATGTAGCTTTAAGCTGCAAAGCCAGTTTCTGTGCCTTGGTTGAAGATTTCTGATAAGCCTTCTTTCTTCTTTGAAGGAATCCAGGTCTTGTTTTAGTGCTGGGTCCCGGAGCTGCAGCATCTCCCGGAGGGACTCGGAGAGCACCCGCCACGATTCAGAGACGGAGGACATGCTTTGGGATGACCTGCTCCATGGGCCAGAGTGCCGCTCCTCCTATACCAGTGACAGCGAAGAAGCTAACATGAGAGGAAGTAAACGGGATCTGAAAGAGGATGTTTTCCAGCAGGTCTGTTGAACCACTTGCACCAAATTAGAACGCGGGTGGGCAAAATGCGGCCCATGGGCCGGATGCGGCCTGCCAAGCCATTCTACCTGGCCTGTGAGGCCCCTAAAAAATTTAGAAAATTAGTATTTATCTGCCTGTGGCTGCCTGTCATGTGGCCCTTGATGGCTTGCCAAAAATCAGTGAGCGGCCCTCCACCCAAAATAATTGCCCGCCCTTGAATTAGAAGGAGAATATGAAATAGTCTTCTGGTGTTAGCATCTAGCCCAGGGGTTTTCAACCTTTTTTAATAAGTATACCCCCGGTGGCCAGATGCAAAGGGGGTGGGGGGAGCGTGGTGGCAGGAGCTGCACGTGGAGGACAACAGTGTGGTGTGGTTAGTGGTGCTGGTGGCCGCCATGTGTGAGCTCCCCCCATCAGCATCCGGCCGGCTGAGTGGTGCCTGTGCAGCCCTAGCCTACTTGGATCTGTCCCAAGCCACCCAGCACTGGCCAGGGTTTTTTTTGGCACGGTTTTAGGGCACGGTGGCAGAAAAACCCTGATGTTCAAAGTGAAAACCTTCCCCCCCCAGCCGTTCAACCAGGGGTTTAGACGCCTAGGGAGGCCAGCTTTCCCCACCAGCTTCCATACAAACCAGCATAGCCTCCTGGTGTGCACCTAGTCCCAGGGACTCACTGAGGGGCTAGAGGGGTCCAATTAGGCTGAGGCTTGAACCCACAACCTTTGCTACCATGGGTAGCACCCTTATCACTGAAGTACCAGGGAAGGATGAAAGCTATTTGCTGTCATGGGCCCCTTGAAGCCCAGTGCCCAGACCCCCTCCATTGAAAGAGGCAGGAGCCTCCCCACAAAACAGGGAGAGGCCAAGACCTCAGCACCAGCAGCAAGAGGTCCTGCACTATGCACCACAGGACCCAGGTGTCTCAGACTCTCACTTCTGCGCCCCTTGAGTCTTTCCATGTGGACATGCACTGGCTGCACTAGAAGGGGAGCCCTGGGAAGGCTACTGCCTCTGCCTGCCTGGTGGCCAAAGCCCCATGCTTTCATGCAAGGTCTTTGGGTTTGACTCTGCACAGGGCCAACACCCCCTGATCGCCAAGGCCGATCATATTTGCCGTGCTGGAGCAGACTTGTTCCAGCCACCCATGCTCGAGTCCAGAGACGTCGGGCTGGAGGCCGGAAGGTCTGCCTTTGTCTGTGGCCACGGGAGATGCCTGGAACGAGCGAAGCCGCGTGGCACATTCCTCTGGGCTGTGGGGACCGTTTTTCTCCAGGTGCTCAGCAGGGACCACTGTGGGGTCCCAGCTCCTGTGCGACCCCAGCCAAGGGGGTGCAGAGAAGTGGGGCTCGGAGGCCTCCAGCCACAAGGGAATTGGGACCCCCAGCCCGCGCTTCCCAGCATTGTGCCCTGGCCCCCCGGCTCTCGGAGAGACCTGGGGCTGGGGGGCAGCGGCAGCCTTGGGCTGCCCTCGGGGAACTGAACAGCCGTGTCCTGCAGAGCTCAGATATGTGGGGACCCAGGGAAGGCTGCCTGCCCCAATATTCTCCCCCGGGGCCTGGTCTAGACCAAGGTCGAGCTGCAGAGCTGCCTCTGGGGCTTCAAAAGGCTAAGGGCCACGAACCAGGCAGCCACTTGGCAATACCCGGACCAGCACCCCAGGGCGGCTGTCCTCATGGAGGAGTCACCGTGCTGTGCCCAGAAGGCTGCTCACCACCCCAATGAGCTTCTGCTGTGTGAAGGCACACAGGAGCTGCGCAAGGGGCAGGCCAGCAGCCAGCGCTGGACACCCTCCTCTGCCCAGCACTGGGAGGCAGAGCCTTGCTCTGGCTGTGGGGGGAGCTCTGAGCCCAGGGGACCAGTGCTCCCCACTCAGGGCTGCACAGAAGCTCCTCTGCCCTCCTGGGGGCAGAGGAGCTGCCCCCAGGAGGGCAGAGGAGATCCAGCACCGGGCAGGGAGGGCCCGGTGCTGGATCATGACAACCCACGGCCGTGGGCTGAAGGCAGACTTGCCTGCAGCACCACCTCTTCTAGCCCCTTTCCCTTTCCCTGAACTGTGTGGAGTACTGCCACAGCCTCTAAAACTTTGTGAAATATTTCTTTCTTCTCAGTTAAGGGGTGTGTGTGTGTCCTGATGGCAGTGCTTTGCTCAGTGGATGTATTGTTTCAGTCTTTACTGTTACTGTAGGATGTCTGCAACATTCATAGTGACCAGAAGCCCTGTCTGGATTAGGGCCTTGTGCTAGGAGTGGGTGAATACCCACTGGAAGAGTTAGCTTGCAGCCAGACACTGTCCGTTAAAATGTTGCCTCTTTTGAAATGGTTTGTATCTTCTGTACAACATTGCATTGTCTTCCTTAGAACCATTTGTTCTGGCTACAGAATACCAGCCCTGCATCTGCAAGAGTGAGTGCCCTCATCTGGGAAGGGAACGAGTGCAAGAAGCTGGACATGTCTGTACTGGAGATCAGTGGCGTTATCATGAGCAGGGTAAGAGGAGCATGATGGTGTTTGATGGGAAATGTGATGCGTACAGGCTGTACAAATCAAGCACTTCAGAGTAAATCTGGCACAGCCAGGAGGGTCTGGCATGCTCTGAAGTAGCTCATTAGAGAGATGTAAGCAGCTGTGTTTAGAGGTGCACCGATACATCGGTCCAATATTGGATCGGCACCGATATAAAGAAAACTGATTGTATTGGAAATTGGCCTGATGTTGCCGATAATTTGGTCAATAAATACCTGTGCACACGCGCAGCCACAGCACAGCACGTTGGTAGTGAGGAGCACAGCCCAGCAGCTTGGAGAGCTGCATGCAACTGGTAAGTCTGTTGTGGTGGAGAGGAAGGCGAAGGGAAGGGGCGTTGGGGTGCAGATCAACACTCTCCACGGTGAGGGAGGGAGTGGACCAGGGGCTGGGGTTGGCACTGCCCAGCTAGGGCAGGGCAGGCATGGGACGGAGCCGTGGCTCGTCAAGAGGGCATGAGGGGCAGCTGCCGCCACTGCATGCACCCCAGGAGGTCACGAGGGAATGGCGGGTAGCCACATCACACTACTGCCCTGTCTCTGCTCTCCAGGTCAAAGCCTATCAGCAGGGAGTGGGCTACCAGATGCTGGGCAACACCATTACCATCGGGCTGGCGTTTCTTCCCTTCCTCTACCGGCTCTTCCATACCAAGAACCTGGAGCAGCTGTGCTCCATTTCTGTGAAGGACCTGCTGCATGTCTTCTGTGGGGCGCCTACCATTACCCCTGTCATCATCCTGGCTGTGATTAACTTCCTCGAGCGGCTGTGCTTAACCTGGATGTTCTTCTTCATGATGTGCGTTGCTGAGAGAACCTACAAACAGGTTTGTCTAGTTGTGCCCTTCCTCTTCGTCAGTGTGTCCTTTCCCTTACTGCAGTAACCGTGGCGCTGCTTAGCAGTTAATCTGTAACTAACCTGGCTTGCCCGTGTTGATAAGCAACAGCCTAATCGCGTAGCCCCCGATCCAGTGCTGCAGTAGGGGAGCTGTTCCTGTTAGACAACCCCAAGCGGCACAGCTTCTACCCATGTGTATTTGTCTTTGCAGCGCCTTTTGTTTGCCAAGCTTTTTAGCCACATCACATCTGCTCGGAAAGCCAGGAAGTATGAAATCCCTCACTTCAGACTCAAGAAAGTGGAAAATATTAAAATATGGTTATCCCTTCGCTCCTATCTGAAGGTGAGACTTGCTTAGCTGATGTTTGCAGCTGGCATTCAGGGCATCACTTCCTTTTCCTGGGTAGCAATAGCTGTCTGTCTGTGGTCAATATTTTGCTGCAGCTCCAGAGAGATCCAAGCTTTGAGTCATTATTTGTTTCCACAGAGGCGAGGGCCCCAGCGATCTGTGGACGTAGTTGTATCTTCCATCTTTTTACTGGCTCTGTCAATTGCTTTTATATGCTGTGCACAGGTGAGACTTTCACATTTGTTTCCGGGGAGTAAGGACAAGCTGGCAGTAGAGTGTATGCTGCTACATGTAAATGGCCTATAGATCCCCTCTAAGCTGCAGAGAGGCCCTTACAGAGCTAGTGACAATTGTAGGGCACTTGAGGCTGCAGACTAGCATGCTCGCACTGTGGGTCAGTGCAGGGGTTTTAGGGGTGAAATGGGAGAGGCTCACAGGTAGGTCGCTTAACAAACCATAAGCATGTGGGATCATGGGCAAGCAGGGCTGGAAGGGCCCTCCCAGCATCACATCTAGTCCAGCCCCCGGCCCAAGGCAGGAGCATCTCTAATGGGTCTGTCTGTCCATCCTGTGCGTGAAAACTTCCAGGGATGCAGACTCCACAATTTTTATTCCAATGCTTGACCCACCCTCCTGCTCTCTCACCTCTATTTCCCCTGCTGTAGTTTGAGGCTGTTGCTCCTAGTCCTGTCCCCTACAGCCAGGCCACGTCCATCTCCACCCTCTCTATAATCACCCGGTGCTCATGTATAGCTGGCAGGGCATTGCCCTTGGTCCTGGTGTGGGATAGAGGGTATGTGATGTAGTCTGACCTTTGAGCTGCACCTAGTGGTACCATGGACTGTTTCCGGCGGGTTGCTGATTTCAGTGTCACATTCTGTGCAGGTGCTAAAAGGTCACAAAACATTCCTGAACGCTGCTTACAATTGGGAGTTTCTGATCTGGGAAGCAGCCCTCCTCCTCTTTTTACTGCGCCTGGCATCCCTGGGCTCTGAGACCAACAAGAAGTACAGCAATATCTCAATCCTGCTCACTGAGCAGGTACTTCTGCTGCGGTCCCCTCCTTGGGGCTTCCTGTTTGTAATAGGAGTGGGCACACACACCCAGCAGGGGACCAGGTCTTGGATGTAAATGAAGGGAGACAGACAGTAGTGCTGGAACTAATATTCTGTGGTCAGGTTGGGGAGGGGAATGTTCCCCTCACTTGAGACCAAAGTTCATTAGTCCCATGTGTGTTAACGACTGGGACGCCAGTAAGTGAGCAGCAGCCCCAGCAGCTGTGGTGACTGGGGGTAAGAGTGGCACCACTGGCTGCCGCCCTGCTCTGTAATACATGTTTCTGTCACAGATAAACCTGTATTTGAAGATGGAGAAGAAGCCAAACAAGAAGGAGCAGCTCTCACTGGTGAACAATGTGCTAAAACTGTCTACAAAACTCCTGAAGGTAAGTTCCCGGCTGAACAAGCCTTCTCGAGGCTCACAGAAACTGGACTGGCTAGGATGCTGGTGTGGAGAGACCCCGGACTCTCACACCCACCTAGTATTTCTTTAGGCACTGCTGTCTGGGCCCAGCTGCTGTCTCATGCCTCATAAGCCCTTTGAAGCAGACCCCATCTTTTTGGTTTGCGCAGCTTCTTCTCCCTCCCCCACCCCCAATGGGCCTGCTTGTTACAGGGCCAAACTTTAGGGATCTCCCCTGCAGGCATGGTATTACACAGCTGACTTGAGCCATGCCAAGAAAAGAAAGTATGTGCAGCCAGAAGGAGCATAAACTGGCAGGCTCGTGGCTAAACCAGCCTGCTGTGTCCAGCCATTCAGCCACTAGCTATTAAATGCAATAGCAGGGGCAGAGAGCTACCCTATGGCCAGTGGGAGCCGAAGGACAGGTACACTTGGGAGGGGAGAAGCAGGAGCCTGCCTGTATCCACGCTGCTTAGGCCACTAGTGACTGCACATCCACTCTTGTCCTAATCTCCATTATTCTCTTTGCAGGAGCTAGACACGCCCTTTAGACTCTACGGTCTGACCATGAACCCTTTAATCTACAACATTACGCGTGTTGTGATCCTGTCGGCTGTTTCAGGTGTTATAAGTGATCTTCTGGGATTCAACATCAGAGTAAGTGCAGCTGAGATGGCCACGGGCATGCTCTCTCTGGTGGTCACTGCGCTGGGCTGATGGAACAGCTGAGCCCTTTCCTGACTCTGCCACTGTTAGGTGCTGGCCAGCTCCTGTCACTGCTGCCACGTGCCTGACAACACTTAGCACTGAGGCCCCAAGCATCACAGCCCACTAACCTGAGGGGTCTGGAATGGGACTGTTGGTATACTCCGATCTGGTTGCTTTCACACCCGTCTCTCTAACCTCTCTCTCTAGTTATGGAAGATTAAACCGTGAACTGACCACACGCTGCAACTCAGCACTCCCCTTCCAGGCAGAGGGGCAGAGCAGAGAGAAGAGGGACGGTGGCTGGCTGCAGAGTGCTCGCAACCTCCGGCAGATCTTTCACCAGTATTTCTTACCTGGAGGTTTGGTTTGTGTCAAAGGGTCACCCACAGCTTATTTCATCACCTGCAGAATAAACGGGTGAAGCCAACCCACAACCCACTGCTGAGTGATGCAGTGAAATTCAGGGCTGCAAGATGAACACACTTGAGCCATCAGTTGCCTAGCAGAGTCATGCTGCTTACACGAGGAGGGCTGTTTCCCACCAGGAGAGAGGATAGTTTCGAGGACACTAATGCACGACACCAACCCACAGGCCTTAGCAGAACGAGCGAACAGGACTGCATCCGTGTGTGAGACGCCTTAAAGCACTCCGGGGGCAGTTCAGCAGCTACCTACTGTCAGTGGGGTACACGTATCCACCTTCATGGCAGTAGGTTGGAGGAGGTGGGTCAAGGCCATCTGGTAAGTCTTAAAGCTTTCCACTTCGCCGTGCCTTAACTCTATAGACACACCTGCCTCAGAAGGGTAAGGCCCAAATCCTCAGTGACAAAACCGAAGAGCAGGCTGATGGGCACCGCGGTTGCTCATTTGTTTCTCTTCACGTGTTACTTGTGAAGAAGCTTCCCCCAGAGGCACAGCTCCACTGCGAGGTGCAGCTCACAGTCTCCCTTCCTTGTGGTACGCTGGCTAGTTTCTAACATATTACGGTTGAAGTCGGTCACGGAGCTCATGTTCTGCCAGAACGAAGGGATCCCTTTTCATAACGTCCTTCCTCCCGCTCACATCGTAAGGGGCAGGCTGGCAAAGGTCCCTTTTTGTAATAAATCATTTCTGCAAAACTCTTTGCTGTACCACGAGAGGCTGCGAGATGGAAAAGCAAGTGACAATAGTTAACAAAATGTCTGTGTTTAGGTACAAATAAAACTACAGAAGCAAACGATCGTCGGATGATGTGTTGCCATCTTTTTTGTCGGACTGCAGTCAATTGTGAATTAAGAAAAGAGAGAAACACATTTTCACTGAACATTACCTTGTCATCTGAAAAACACCACCGCTGCTGAAAGGCAACAGACATGCATCATACAGGGCAAGAACCAGCAGGCCACGAGCTGGAGTTTCTTTTTAATATCTATATAAAAAATAATGAGTGATTTACAGGTCTCTCTCTAGTCCGAACCTCAGAAGTATATATAAAGGTGCTGTACAATATATAAACATTTACATCCAGTACATCCATATGTTGCTTAGCATTCCAAGGCCACATTGCTAAGTCATCTTATACAGTAAGTACAGATACAGGTTCTCTGGAAAGGAGGAATCACAAACAGATAGGACACCAAATCAGGTCACAAGGCAAACGATCAGAAAAAATAGCATTTGGATGAGTACTTGCCGACAGGAAGGGAAAGGAATTTCAACGGTGCTAAGTTTCTGAATTTGGTACTGTACTCAAAGTCTCTCCTTTATAGGGGTTATCAAGTTGGTGTTGGGTGACTGGTCCACCTTTCCTGACTCTAGCTTCTTTGTCTAAAATCTCAGTACTTTTCCATCCTGACAAGTGGTTAGGCTCATGCATCATTGTCCTTAGGTGTTGCTTTTCAATCACTCTGTTTACAACATTCTTCCATTATCCTGGTGTAGGCCTCCCAACCCCAACTCCCTTCCCAGAGCTGGAGAGCACCCAGGGGTCCAGGCCCACCTCCTGCCCCCCACCTGTAGAGTGTTTTTTCTGCGTGCTGGACACCATGTTCCTCTGCATCTACGTGGTCAAGGTGCTGGCCAAGATCATGGCCCTCGGCCTGGACTACCGAGAACGACATGGGTGAGTCCCCGCCACTTCCAGTTTCCCACAGGTCTCTGCCTGGAGGGGGAGATCAGGGGCCACTGCCTGGCTCCCCCCAGCCCTCGAGACTTCCTGGTGATGGGGCTGATGCTGCTGGACTTCGTGCTGCGGCTGGTCATGCTGCCAGGAGACGTATGGTTCAAGGATGCCGTGGCCCTGCTGTGGCTGCTGCGCATCTTCTAGGGCATCCGCACCTTCTGCCTTGTGCACCTGCTGATCAGCCTCCGGTCGAACCCGACCCCTGCCCTCTCGCACAGGTCCCTGGGCCCTCATGCAGATCCCTTCTCTCCTGGGTGACCTTCCCTGACTTCCTGACTGACTTTGCACTGATTCCACGCTGCACACAGACACACACTGGCCCCTGACCCCTCATGCTGATCTCTGACCTGGCTGACCCTTCACACCTGGCTAGACGAACACCTTGCTGGGGTCATTTGACCCCAGTGCTCTTTCCTGCCATGGCAGGGGGTCGGACTTGATGATCTGTCAAGGTCCCTTCCGACCCGACCAACGATGAAACTTCCCAGCGGTCACTCTGTCTGCACAGGGTGTGGGAGCGCCTGCAGGAGCTGGCCGGCACCTTTGCGCTCTTGGGTCACTCCGACGGTGCCATCCTGTTGCTCATGTTCACCTGCCTCTGTATCCGCCAGGCGCTGGGGAGGGTCCAGGGGGCTCAGGGCAAGGGGTCCCAGCTTGTGTGGTTGCCTTGACCTTCTCCCCCACTCATCTTCTCAGTGCTGCTGCATTATCTGTTGGTGCGCTCCGACCCCGGGTGTTTTGGCCACTTGGTGGATACCGTCTTCACCCTCTTCCCACTCCTCATGCTGGACGACTGGGACTTCATCTACTGTGACAGTGGCCAGCAAGGTCTGCAGGGTGCCGGATGCCTGGGTCCTATCTAGGGGAGGGGGCAGGACTCCTGAGTTTTCTCCCAGCTCAGGCAGGGGTGTTGTGGGGTCAGGGACCTGGACACCTGGGTTCCTCCATGGCTGATCCCCATCTTGTTTTCCCCAACAGGTGCCTCGCCTCCTACAGGCACCTTCCTCTTGCAATGGAGGGGCCTCGGCGCTGCGCCTCAAGGGGCCCAGGGCCGGAACAGCTTTCAGCCTTCCCCAGTAGTCTGGTGTAAGTGTACCGGCAAAGGTGGTGGGTTCCAGCCTGGCCTAGCTGGAGCCCTCAGCGAGCCGGTGGTGCTGCTTGCTAGCTGTGTCCAAACAGGCTGTGCTGGGAAGGCCAGCCTCCCTGGGCATCTGTGCCCTGGTTAAGCAGTGGCATTTTGTCTTGCACCTTGAACATCAGTTTTTTGCCATGGCGCACTAAAAGTGCCAAACAACCCAGACCACTGCTGGGTGTTGCAGGACAGATCCAAGTGGGCTACAGCTCCAAATCCCCTCTGGCTCTTAAAAGGGGGCAGCCCCTCTCCTCCTGGCCCTGCGACCCTCCGGGGGCACCTTGCACTGGGCCCGCTACAAAGGAGCCCTGGGGCAGCTAAGACCCCCCGCCTCTGGGCCCGGGGGCAGTGCAATGAACCACGGAGCTGCACTCCACCCGTTTCC